TTTAAACTGAGCCAGATATTTTCTAAAGGATTTTCACGGTTTTACTGTTTTCTCAAAGAGTGGTACTGTCCTATATAGCATGATGGAGTGCTCTTACGTGATTTCTTACCTCGCAGTTATTATTTACTCTTATTACTCACTGAGTTGGAAGTACTCACTTTACTCCCTGCACTTTGCGTGCAGTTGCAGGTATTGTTCACCCGGTAGCGGGTTATTAGCTGATTGAAGGTATGGCTATTGTAGCTGAGTAAGGTGACCGCCAGCGTTCGCGGCACCGGATGTTGTCTTTTGATTTCCAGGATTTTTCCTTACATATTATTATTGGCCCTGTAGTTGTGTTGAGGTTTCTTAGATGCTCGTGACTTGTGACACCCCGGTCGGGTTGTGTTGGGTTGTACATACTGGTTATTATTGTCGTTAAGCTATATTTATCTATACATTTATGTTTAATAATTGTTAAAGAAACGGATTGGGTTAGTTGGCTGGCCTTGTCTTCACGAGAGGCGCCATCACGACCGGGTATGGAAATTGGGTCATGACAGTACTGATTTGGTTGGAATCCGGTAGGTCTTGAAATCAACCAAAACTAATGTTAATCGATTGTTCTTTGTCAAGAGCAATCGATTGGCATAAGCTTTGGCTCAAATCGATCCATCGAACCCGTAGAAACCAGATTAGGAACGGATTGGGGTTTTCAGTTTTCTTCGGAATCTCAGATTTGAGAATTGACAGTGTTAAGGGTGATTTGAGAGGAACTGGTAGTGGATTTGGGAAGAAAGGGCGGTGAGGATCCCCTGGTATGAATTTGGGGTAATTTGGAGGAGTTAGGGTTTTTTGGTTTGATTTCGATCTAAAATTCGAACAAATCGGCAGGGATTTGAGGGAAGCAAATTGGAGATTTTGAAGGGGGAGGTCATGGGGGTTTCAGGGTGTAAAGGTGGTGGTGTTTGGAGTACCAGTGCTGCCGTGGGCGATTTTTGGCGGGCGGAGCCGGTGGGGGAATCCTACGCGGCTAGGGTTTGAATTATTGAGAGAGACGAGTGGGAAATGCGGGGGTAATGGGGGTCTAGGGGGTCCATTCGGACAGTTATAAGGGAGGGGAAGGGTTAGTTCCCAGCCGTTGGATCATGGGAGATCAACGGCTGAGATTAGAGGGCAATAAAACGGTGCCGTTTTGGCCAGTGGGAGTTTGGACCGGGTATATCAATTATTTGGGATTGGGTTTGGGTGATTTGGGAACGGGGCTGGGCCGGATTTAGGTGTAAAATTGACCCATTTTCAAAAAACAAACCCCTTTTTCTTCAATTCTTTCTTTTATTTCTAATTTTTTTCGTTTTCCTTTTAATCTAAAATTTTAAAATTAAAAATACTAAATTGTCAAAAGATGTAAAATTAAACTAATTAACTAATTATAAAAATTATAAACATCACTTAATTCTAAATTAACAGAGAAAAATCAATAAATTAAAAATTAAAAGAAAAAAGATGTAAAATGAGCTATTTTGTGGTTTTTAAATTTCTATCAAACAAATAATCATTGATTAATCCTAAAAATATAAAAATAAAGCCTAAATGCAATGCATGATATTTTTGGTATTTTTCATGATTTAATAAAATTAAACATGCACAAAAATGCAAACAATTAAATAAAAATTTTACAAAATTCCTAAAATGGCAAATAATTAACAAAAAATCTATTTTCTTGGATTCTGTAGGAGTAATTCATATAGGGCAAAAATCACATGCTCACAGCCGCCCCTCTTTGCTCGAAAACACGAAGGGTTTTCGTGCAAAGATAAAATGAGCAATTACGAGGGATTTTTGCCCGTTCGAAACTCCATGAGAAGCATCTTTTTGAAAAAGCCTGACCGAACCTTGCTTCGGAGGTTGCCTACATATCCTTGGCTATAAAGGAATCGGGTCAGTGTAGTTCTGGAAGTTTTGGTAGCTGGGACTACCGGGAAACTGTGATTTCACTGTTGTTGCTACTGTTTCTGCTTGCTGAACTCCTTATTACACCAAAATGAAAAAATAAAAAGCTAAGCTAGCTAAGCCTATCAACTACGAGTTACAAGATTCCTATTTATAAACCTTCTAAAGCTCGATCTTGAGTCTTGGATGGTTCTTCCTGCAGACTCTTATCTGAATCTTGATGTTCGTTAGCTGCAAACGCTGGTTCATTCTTCAGCTTTTCGGATCAAGGCGGGATATGCAAAACTTGTGACTTCAATCATATCTTGAGCAGTCCGCATCTTTTCTCCTCTTCTACACTTGGAGTTCAACTTATTTTCTTGTTCTTCTTTTCTTTTATTTGGGTTGGGACTTCTTCTTTTGGTTATCTCAAACCTTGTGCCTCATGGTGAAAACCTGTTCAGGCATCAAAGCAAACAAATGAACGAAAATTTCCTGCCCCAGTTTTCACTAGGAAAATTTTCTGAGTTATTGTAGCAAAAATCTAAACTATTTCTTTATTTAAAAGCAATAAAATAAGGATTGTGTATCCTCGGGAAAAAGAGATTAGGGAGTGGAGCCCTATATCTACACTAAAATCAATCAGGGAGTGGAGACCCTATGTTGGAAAAGCAAACTAGGGAGTAGGGACCCTATGTCTAAAAATAAATTCAACTAGGGAGTGGAGACGCTATGTTGGAAAGGCGGCTAGGGAGTGTGACCCTATGTCTAAAATAAACTCAACTAGGGAGTGGAGACCCTATGTAGGAAAGGCGACTAGGGAGTGGAGACCCTATGTCTAAAGTAAATTCAACTAGAGAGTGGAGACCCTATATTGGAAAGACGACTAGGGAGTGGAGACCCTATGTCTAAAAATAAACTCAACTAGGGAGAGGAGACCCTATGTCTAAAAATAAACTCAACTAGGGAGTGGAGACCCTATATTGGAAAGGCAACTAGGGAATGGAGACCCTATGTCTAAAAATAAACTCAACTAGGGATTGGAGACCCTTTGTTGGAAAGGCGACTAGGGAGTGGAGACTCTATGTCTAAAAATTAATTGAACTAGGGAGTGAAGACCCTATGTTGGAAAGACTAGGGAGTGGAGACCCTATGTCTAAAAATAAACTCAACTAGGGAGTGGAGACCCTATGTTGGAATGGCGACTAGGGAGTGGAGACCCTATGTCTAAAAATAAACTCAACTAGGGAGTGGAGACCCTATGTTGGAAAGGCGACTAGGGAGTGGAGACCCTATGTCTAAAATAAACTCAACTAGGGAGTGGAGACCCTATGTTGGAAAGAAGACTGGGGAGTGAAGACCCTATGTCTAAAAATAAACTCAACTAGGAAGTGGTCTAAAAAATGAAAAGCTAAAAACAAAACATGAGCCTGAATTGGACCGCTCTTTTATTTAGTCCTCTTTTATTCTCTTTATGCACCAAATGCTTCCAACAACATAGATATATCAGTGATCATGCTAATTCTCTTTAATTAAATTTTACACTTCATCTATAATTGACTTCCATAACTCATGGCCTCACTATAATCTCAAACGTAGGAGATGAACAACATATGAACATCGTAGCTTGCTTCAGGCGCGATTAATAAATAAATCCTCGTGACTGTGGGTACAGTTCCCTTGACATAGTTGCGATACATAAATCGAAATTCGGGTGTGCATTACATGTGATCCTACCATAACTTCGTATAGTAATAAAAATAAACATGTTGTAAATCGCGAGTGCGTTTCACGTGACGCGGTTCGCAATGTGTAAAAAAATAATAAGTGCGCGTCATCGCGACTTATTTAAATAAACTCCATAAATCCTAAAGCAATTAAAACTCTATTAAAAGCGGTTAGAAAGTTAAAAATGCTCAATAGTTTTTTTAAAGCTGTATTAAATCGGATAATTAAGTCAATTATTAATAGTTGAGTGACCGTGCTAAAACCACGGAACTCGAGAGTCCCTCACACCTTCTCCCAGGTTAACAAAATTCCTTACCCGGTCTTTTGCGTTTGCGGACTATAAATAAGAGTCAAAATTTCTCGATTTGGGATTTAAAATGAATGGGTGACTTGGGACACTCTAACGGCTATCCCAAATGGCGATTCTGATTAATTAAATATTCTCATTTTAATAACGTACCTTTAATTAGAAAAATTCCTGATCCCTTCAAGAAAAAAATGTGTGACATCACTAACGCAGCGTATCACAGGAAAGCACAAGAGGAAACATTGATCCAAACTACCGGGCAATAACGTACGTAATTCCTTAGATGTGAAGTCTGTCAAACTTTGAATTTGGATATATACTACAAGTAGTACTATTTAAGTGTGAATGGGAGTGGACAGGGGTGGGGTAAAGATGTGGACTAGTCGGCAATCCCATAAATATTTTCATACTTGCATGTGATATGTTGTCAGTAAGTTATTGGTCAACTTTAAAGCTAGAAGACTATTTTTTACATTCTCTTCCCTCTTCTTTCTCAGAAAAATCAGATTCTCCTCTATGTATATTCAAATACTATATATCAGTAATATTTTACTATATATTTCATAATTACTTGTTCAACTAATTATACAATACGTATATACTAGTTGTATGTGATGTATATAATAGTAATATAGAAGTAATATTCATTGTATAATAAAATAAACATACGATAAAACTATATAACCCTAATTTAGATCTAGGTTGTTTTTGGTAATAAATGTGAATATTACCATAACAATCAAATGCTTTACATCCTAAGAGCATCCATTGTACTAGCTCTTCTAGTACAACAAGACCTCAAACATCAAAACACCTTTCTAAGTACAAACTTTCATGACTTTTGAATTAAAAAACTACAGGATTCCTAACTACATGCTACTTCCTAATTACATAATCTTTGTATCATCAATGGACACTGCTTTACTCTTTTGGACTCTGCATACATGCCTAATCTGTCCACCATCTCCTTTTTAATTTGCCCAGTACAAAATTTCAGATTCAAGCTAATTTGTTTGAAAATTCTCCAGTTCCTCGCTTGCCAAGTGTGGTATACCATTGCTCCTATGATTGCTGCTGCAACCTCCTTCTTTATTTGTTTCCAATGCCTTCTTTTGATCCACCGTAACATCTCTGGTACTGCCATGTTTGGTAACCTTATTGCTGCCCAGCATGTTAGTGCATCTCTCATGTTTTTAAACCAACTGCAATCCCCAAACAGATGTTGTTGTGTCTCAATCACTCCCAGATCACATAGGCAGTATTCAGCATTACCTGTTATAGGGATGTTCATTTGTACTAATCTGCTTTTTGTTTGCATTTTTTGTTGGAATGCCAGCCACAGGACAAATCTGTGTCTTGGCAGCAGTGTCCTACTCCATACCAACTCCATTTCCCTACACCTTGACAATTGTCCTAGCATTGCATTGTAGCTGCTAGATACTGAATACTGCCCATTGTTAGTCAGCCTATATGTACTTCCATGATACTATTGTGCCATATTTTGTTTTAAACTATTTAACTTCTTCCAATACCAACTACAATCAGATGGTGGCCTATGATCCCAGATGTTTCTACATGATTTCATATACACCCCATGTACCCATCTCACCCACAACACTTCTTTATTTGTCATTAATTGCCATAGTAGTTTTCCAACTGATGCTATATTCCAATTTTTACATCCCTTTATGTTCATTCCACCATACTTCTTTGGTCTGCATAGAACTTCCCATGATATCAATGCCATCTTCCTGTGTCCTTCTGTAGTGCCCCATAGATACTCCCTACACTTCCTATCAATTGCTTTTATAACACTTTGAGGAAGTATAAAGACAGCCCCCCAAAAGTTATACATTGCAAACAGTACTGAATTGATCACTTGCAGCCTACCTGCATATGACAGAAGTTTAGCATAGCCTGCTTGGATATTTGTAGTGATCTTCTCTACTAGCTGGTGACATTCTACCTTGCCCCATTTCTTTGATGTTAATGGTAGTCCCAGGTATCTCATTGGTAGTGTACCCACTGAGAAACCTGTAGCACTCACTATAGCCTGTTTACTTGCTTCATCCATTCCTGCTAAATATATGTTTGACTTCTCCATATTTGCTACCAACCCTGACACTGCACTGAAATGATTCAACACTTCCAACATCCTATGGATAGATTGACTGTTACCTTTGCAAAATAACATCAGATCATCTGCAAATATCAAGTGTGTCAGTTTGGTGTTTTTACACACGGGATGAAATTGGAAATCTGGCAGTTCACTCATTTTGTTCAACCCTCTTGTTAGGTACTCCATGACAAGTACAAATAATAATGGATACATAGGTCTCCCTGCCTCAATCCCCTTTTTCCTTCAAAGTAGCCATATCCTGCGCCATTCACCTTGACAGTAAAAGTAGTTTTTGTAACACACACCATTATCAGTTGGATGAATGGCATTGGAAAACCATATCCTCTGAGTACTTCCTCCAGAAATTCCCATCTCACCATATCATAGGTCTTCTTTAGATCAATCTTCATCAAGCACCTTGGAGTTGTCTTCCTGTTGTAGTGTCTTAGAAGATCATGACATATCAGCACATTGTGGATAAGTGACATTTATTCAATGAAAGCTGCTTGATTATCAGCTACAATCATTGGAATAACTTTCCTCAATCTAGTACAGATGATCTTGGAAATGCATTTGTAAATGACATTACAGCAAGCAATAGGTCTAAATTGACTTGCCTGCAAGGGATTCTTCACTTTTGGAATAAGTGTTATACTGGTAGAGTTAATCTGAGTGAGTAGTTCTCCAGTCTCAAGAAATTCCAGCACTGCCTTGATCACATCCTCTCCAATTATTGTCAAGGCTGCTTTGTAAAAACCACTCCCATATCCATCTAGTCCAGGGCTTTTAGTGTCACATTTATGCTGAACATTACTTTTTTCACTTCAGCTCCTGTGTAAGGTCTTAATAGTTGTAGTTGTTGAGTAATTGGTAGCACTTTCCCATTTTTCAGAAACCCCTGGATGGCATGATCCCTGAACCTTCCTTTTGTCCCTAGTAATTTCTGGTAATAGTCTACAAAGATTCCTGCTATCTCTTGCTGCTCAGTTTTTATGTCTCCAGCATTATAAGTTAATTGGATAATTGCTTCCTGCAACCTCCTGTGCTTTATTACTGAAAAGAAGTACCTATTATTATCATCTCCCAGTTTGATCCAGGTAGCCTTGCTCCTTTGTTGAAGATATACCTCTGCCAAGTATGATGATCTTTTGAATTTTTGAAACTTCTGCTTTTCTGCTAGCTGGAGCCCCACATCCACTGGATTTTTATGAAGTTCAGCTTGAGCTGCAGCCAAGGCCATTCTGTCTGCATCAGCTTCTTCTATAATGTTGCTGAAATACTTCTTATTCAGCATCTTCAAATCCTTCTTCATCATTTTTAACTTCCTAACCACTTGAAACATACTGCATCCCTCAACTTCCTTCCTCCATCCTGCCTTAACTATATCTATAAAGTTTGGATGAGATGCCCAAACATTACAGAAATTAAAGGCAGCTTTTGCCCTCCTTGGTGAGTTAACATTTGATAGCTTTAGTGGGCAATGATCACTTATCTCTTCCTCCAAGTAGCAAGCCTTATATGCTAGCATTAGATTGAGCCATGCTGTGTTAATGAAAACCCAGTCTATTTTTGATAAGATCCTATTATCTCCATGTCTATCATTCCAGGTATACCTACTCCCACTAGTTGGCATTTCAAGTAGTTCACAATGGTCTATGCACTGCTGGAAGTCTATTATTTCAGCCAAACTTACAGGATTCCCCCCCCCCCCCTCTATCATCAGTATACAGCACAAAATTGAAATCTCCCATAACTATCCTTGGGCCCCCCCATATTCTTACTCACAGTGTCTAGGTAGTTCCACAAGCTCCTTCTCTCTTCCTTTGTGTTGAAAGCATATACTATAGTCATCATAAAGCCAGTCTGCAGCCTATTATGACTCACCATGCATGTTACAGCTTGATCAGACATGGAGCTCAAAGTTATTTTAAAACAATCCTGTCTCCATGCCACCCAAATTCTGCCATTATAGTGTTCTCTCAGATTTGTTATACTCCCCCATCCTCCAAATAGCTTGTTTGCCACTTGGTTTATTTTATCAGACTTTATTTTGGTTTCTACCATGCCTATCAACCCTATCTCTTCTTTATTACAAAGGAGTTTTACCTCCTTTTGTTTGTTAGGGGCATTCATACCCCTAACATTCCAACATAGAATGTTATCCATTACTCATAGGAGGTGATGTGTATTGGGACGTGTATTCGTATTGAACTTGAGATTTTCCAATAACATGCTCAGTGGATCTGATGTGACCTTGTAACATGTTCGTTAACTTTTATTGAATTAACTGGTATGATTGGCGGCTTCTGGTTTCCTTTGTTATCCCTCCCACATTCCCCTCCCCTTCCCTCAGCTCCATCAGTATCCTTTGACTCAAGTATCTGAAAATTGTTGTACTAGCTTCTATCTCCAGTTTCCCTCCCCTGCTTTGTTTGTCTACTTGTGGTTCTTGTAGCATTGCTTGGTGTTATCCACCCTGCATTATCCTGATTTTCTTGCATTCTTTGTTTCCCTGTCTCCATCTTATTCCCTTGCATTTTGCTGGTTCCTTTCCCATCCTTAATAGCTGATGGTTTGTTCATTTGTTCTGTTGGTTGTTCCTCCTTTTTGCCATTACAGTTAAATTTATAAAAAAGAAAAAAGGATACCTAAGTTAACATTAATATACAATGATAGATCTAGTATACTCGTGCAGGATATAGCACCTATGCCATTGAATAACATTGTGTTGGAATAATTATGGAACAATAAGTGACTCAAGAGTCTGAAAGGAAGCAATAAATAACAATAAATAACATATAAGTAAATAAATGAGCAGGGGTCACCGACAAAGGTGAGATTTTCCACTTGTCCTTCTGACTACGATGGACAATGATAAGCCTTTGAATATTCTGATCTTTCTTAGATCAAGGAGAGAAAAAGATAGATAAAGCTGCAAAAAGGTTAACTTTGTATGTATATGATAAAGAGAGAATTTTCGGAGAATGTCAATGTATTGTTCTTTACAAAAAGTATCCAACCCTCCCCTATAACTATATATCTTTTTATTTACGAGGATACATAGGCTACAAAAACCTAAATAGTACAATTGGGAGGAATACCAACTGGAATATCCTCTAACGAATAGAAAGTCTAGAACTAGTCGTTATTGTTATTCGAAGAGGAGTGTTCGTTCCTCGCCCTTGTCTTCTATCGAGTCACTTCGACCTCGTCGACGCGCGACCTGCTATCCTCTTGTGACGTCGATCCTTTGAAATCAGGTTATAGTTTCTTATTGACGACGCGTGGCAATCTCCAAAAGCTTCGTTCATATTGACCCGGTCAACACGTAATATGATATTTTTCGCCCATACAAAATAATTATAAAATTTAAAATCTATAAGTAATATTAAATTAACTTTTTATTGAAATACATGAACACATTGTACAACTTAAATTTAACTATCGGCAGGAACTTACAAATCAATAAAAAGAACATATCGAGTTGAATGTATATTTCAATTCAAGAAGAGTAGCAATCAATTATTCTTTCCCTTTATTTTTGCTATTTTTAGGGATTATTAATTAGCATCTCTATTTTAATGGAACTGGATGATTTCCGCTCTTTTTTTTTTTTTTTTTTTTGTTTTTTGCTTTTCCTTTCCTCGATTGCGAGAAATTTAAATTCCCAATTTGTTTGGGCCGTGGGCCGTGGCTTTGATTATGGTCTCCCAAACTTACGAAGAGGCATCGAGGTCGGTGCAGCGTTATCCATGTAAAAATTTTGGATGTCTCCAGTAAATGAAACCCACATGGAATTTTCAAAGTTAAATGACAAAGAATTACATATGTATAAATATAAATAAATATAAATAATAATAATATTTAAAAATTCTCTAATAAGATAGATTCTACTCCCGCATATAATAACTTGTTTGGCCAAACTGCAAAAATCAGCTTATTTTGAGAAGTATTTTTCTTAAAAGTGTTCTTTTTCTCAAAAGTATTTTTTGCGAGAAACAGTTTGTATTTGACGAATTAATTTGAAAAACGCTCCTGATAGCAATTGATTTTTGGCCAACTTTTTAAAACTGTTTCTAAGTATATATTTCTCAGAATTGCTTTTTGAAAAATTACTTTTGAAGAGAATTTACCTTTTTTTCTGCTTCTGCTTCTATTTAAAAGTATTTTTTTTCTAAAAGATTAACCAAACACTTTAATTTTTTTTAAAAAAAAGTGCTTTTGACTTTTGAGAAGTTTGGCCACACATTCTATAAATATATTTTACATTATAAGATGAACGGAAAATTATGGCAATTGCTAAGAAAAATGTAATTAGTAAGAAAATAATACAAATAACATATTAAAATATGCTAAAAATATAAAAAAATTACTCTCTTCGGTCCACAATAAGCGACCAGTATTGGACCGGAGTTAGAGCCCGTTTGGCTTAGCTGATTTAGAGTAGGTGATAAGCACTAGGTGCTGAAAAACACTTTTAAGTGCTGAAACTGATTTAAAAAATAAGTAGTTACGTGTTTGGATAAAAGTGCTGAAATTAATAATATGCAGCTGAAGAACCGGGTATACGAAGAGTTTTATTTTAAAAAGAAGTATTTTAGGGATAGAATAGTAAATAATTTGGTCAAACTTAAAGTGCTTAGAAGCTGAAATTTAATAAGTTGGGGGAGACCAACTTATGGCTTTTGACTTATTTTTGGCTTATAAACACTTAACTTATTAGCACATTTAATTTTAACAAACGCGTAGATAAGCCAAAAAGTACTTATAAGCTAGTTTGACCTGCTTATAAGCTTAGCCAAACACCCTCTTAGTACATTATTAACATTAAATCCAAAAGAAAATGACTTATACAGCTGCTTGGCATTAGCAGTATATAAAAGAGCCTATAAGCGACAAAAAAAGCCAGTAATCAGTCGTTCTCATTTGCCAGACGTCAAAGTAGTATAAGATAGGTTAAGTTGGATATTTCTTGCAATTAATCATTACTCTTCTTCTTCTTCTTCTTCTTTTTTCTCTGCTGCTCTCGATACACAAGCTCAATAAGCAGTATATTTCTTGCACTTATATTTCTCAACACATAAATAAAGCAGAGCTAATTTGTTGAAGTAAAAACCAGAAAGAGGAAAATGGGTGTTATTGACCATATCTCTAATATGTTTGACTGTTCCACTGGTTCTCACTCTAAGCACAAGAGACGCAAACAGTTGCAGGTATTTATATCTATATATTCAAATATTCTTACTTACTTTTTATCTGTTTTCTTCAGTTCTTTATCATTTCGTGTATGAGTTTTTCAGGGTTTTGCTGCTATATATCCCTGTTGCCTCTAGTTCTTGAAATCTGTGTCAGATCTGTGTGAAATCTGAAGTTCTGAATCCAAATAAAACTTATCAATGGAAGTATTTTTGCTTGATTAATTATTCAAATAAAATTATTAATTAGTATAAAATTGTGTTCACTACGTTGCTGTCGGCTGTAGCTATTAATAGAGTTTTCTAAATATTAGACTGCATAATAGAGTTTTCTAAATAATGTTAACATAAATTATTGGAGCCTATGGCTTTCGATTGTTCCAGGTCCTATTTTCTTAATATGGTTTAGGACGGAGGTTAAGGAATATTATAGTAATTCAAAAGACTTTTTTTTTTCCTTCTGACATCTCAATCTAGCTGTCTCAGTTTTGTGAGCTGGTTTATGCTATGTACTTAGCAGAGTGGATCCATAATTTTAGCTTTATGGTTCAATTATTAAGATTTTTAGCATTAGATTCATTATATATTTAAAATCATGAGTTTATATTTATTACTTTTTTGTAATAAATTTTTACGCATAAATTTATACTCTGCTGAGTGGCTACATCAGCCTTCTTTAAGAGCCCGTTTGAACATAAGAACTTTTTTCACTTTTTTTCAAAATAAGTATTCATGTCCAAACACATCTCTAATTTTTAAATACCATTTACCGTTGAAATTTTTTTTCACTTACTTTTAGAATTTTACAATTCTTTTATGTCCAAACGCGCACTAAACCCTTTGCAAACATTATCACTTCACGTTCACCTTGTCGAGTTATTTCTTGTTGTCTAATAGGATATTCTGGTACAAAGTTGAAATAGGGTTCCCTGTGTACAAAGCTTGTAAAATATTTTATAGTATAAGTTAATTCCTGAGATAATGCCATCCCCAATATATCTTTTACTCTCTTTCATTTATCAAAGGTCTAACAGCTAGTAGAACGACAAACTTAAAAAAGTTAAGGATTTGTCATTCTAGGATGGTTTTCCCATGTGCACGCTCTCGTCTTGTTTCTAGTAATTCGTCCTTTAACTAACGCTACCATTTTCCTATGAAAGATCATAGTCATCATCTATTGTCTTTATTATTGTCCTTTTGTTTTCTTTTTAAAGTATTTCTTAACTTTTTTCGATAACAAAAGTATTTTCAAAAGCAAAAGTAGAATGTTTCCTTTAAGGGTGGTGTGTTTCAAGGCTTTGCAGAAAGGGTAGTTCAGATTCAGTAATGGCTTTGGACCACCATTGATTTGATGAGGACGTTTAAATCTTGGCTTGGCCATATCCTACTTACTACATGGACCTACCTTATTAATTCTGTTAGTGTTCTTACAAATTTTGAATGGGACATTTGCACAAATGGTTTTATTTTTGAGGTCACTATTTATATTTTCTCCTCGTTAATTTAGTTGGTTGAATTTGTCTGCCATAAATATTCCAACTATTTATAAGGATTTTTTTAGTGTATAGAGGTTATGGAAATAAAATTTAAAGGAAAGAAAGGCCATAAGGGTACAAATAATCCTACTTGAACTAGGACTAGTGGTGGCAAACAAGCGGGTCGGGTCGGATATGGATGGGTCGAAAACGGGTAATGCAACAAATGAATAAATTATCCCCCGACCCAATTAATGCGGATTAAAACGGGCGGATAATTCCATGGCTTCTTGAATATGATCACTTTTGGGAGAATTCCTAGTCTCCTAACTTGAGAAACCCTCAATTTGAGGCTTTACAAATGTAAAAATTAAACTCGTTAGTTATTCATTTGGTTATCTATTTTCTAATAATATAGTCTTATCCATATTTGACCCGTTTTTATAAATTTCATTGACCGACCCATTTTTTATTATATTGTATAATATGGGTGGATAACTGTTTTCTTTTAACCATTCTGTCACCCCTAACTAGGACCAATGCACATTTACCGGGACTAATGCTAGTATGTTTTTTCACTTTATATATTGACTATATATAATAGTTTGCTTGAATACCACCTTGCCTTTTATATATTATCTTTCAATCAATGCATTTAACTAATACTGGCTAACACTGTAATTAATCTTTACAATATTAGTATAATTTAACATGTAGTAGCATGATATTTGCCTTAATTTTTCATGTGATTAATTCTACTTGTTATGAATAGGCATTTCTGATTATCTTTAGGTGATCTGATGGTCTGAGATTCATTTTACATTGTCAAAATATAGAGGTTATACTCTCTTTCCATTAATCATAATTAAAGAAAACATCTGTATACCTTCTGTTAAGCTCAAGTATGTGCCAAAAGTAGTGTAGACTATAAGTTGCTATTTAGTGAATCTAATACATGAATATATGAAAACTATGGATTTCCAGACAGTGGAGGTAAAAGTGAAGATGGATTGTGAAGGTTGCGAGAGGAAAGTGAGAAGGTCCGTAGAGGGAATGAAAGGAGTTCAATCTGTCACAGTGGAACCCAAACAACACAAGCTAACAGTAGTGGGCTATGTTGATCCAGAGAAAGTCGTGGCCCGTGTTGCCCATCGCACAGGTAAGAAGGCAGAGATCTGGCCCTATGTCCCATACGACGTCGTAGCTCATCCTTACGCGCAGGGCGTCTACGATAAGAAGGCACCAGCTGGCTACGTGAGGAGAGTTGATGATTATCAAAGTAACCAGCTCCAACGTGCCAGTTCTACTGAAGTTCGTTATACCACTGCCTTTAGTGATGAAAATCCTGCAGCATGTGTGGTCATGTGAACTTAATATTCATGCTATTATGTTACTACATTATGAACCTTGTACCATAGTACTCGTTATTGTTAAATTTTGTATTGCTTTTGTGAAGTTCTTACTTCTTAAGTTTTGAAATTCATAGTGTTTCTTTTTTTTTTTTTTTTAGGATGTTTGGGGGGGGAGGGGGGGGGGGGGTAGGTATGGGTAACTTTGATGAAGCAGAAGTTCTGCCGTTACTATGTTGTGTTGTTAAATCAATTAATGTCCTGTTGTGAAAACTGGTAAGAAGGAATGGGATCAGAATATGCTGGATTTACTGTTTCCAAATTTTCAGTTTTATTAGTATACCTTAGATTCAAACTTGTGCAAATATAGTTTAAATTATGGTTTTTGTGTCATTAAACAATTATTGCTTCCATTGACATAGGTAATTGGTGACACTGTTGTGGTGAACATTCAGGACTTGTTTGGTACATTGGTGGGATTTCCCGTGGGATTAGTTATCCCATCTTTTATATGGGATAACTAAACCCATCATTTTAGGGGTCGTTTCGTTGTGAAACAAGTTATCTCATGATTAATTATCCTGGGATTAGTTATCTCACCTTTCCATGGGGATAAAAGATACTACAATCCCGTGATAATTAATCTCGGTATTAGTTATACCATGATTTTTTCAATCAAATATGGGATAAATTCATCTCAAATTTAATTTCGGGAGTAATTTTCCCATATCACTCGTACCAAACGAACCCTTATTATAAAGTTATCTCGGTATTAGCTAATACCCCGAACTAAATATCGGATAAAGTTAATCTCAATTTTTATACCAAAATTATTATCCTTATCACATGTACCCGACACTTAATATCCTATGTTGAATTGCATGAACATTGGGGCCTATTACTGTTTGCTTTCAGATTGTTGCTTTTTGTAAAGTAGCAGTATGTACCTACTTTGAGATGATCCCTTTGTACATATCAAGTGGAAATTTGGGTTGGAAAGCAAAAGTGATGGACTACATGGTGTGACAATTTACTTTTGGGGGAATGAATTTTCTATGTCCTCCAATTTTTCAAAAGTTTTTTCATCTTTTCTTGTGTTGGTTCTTTTATTTTATTGGATAAATTTAATTGATACATGCCTTAGAATATCTTACCATGACCCTTTTAGTGATGGATAACTATCTACTGTTTATGTTAAAACAGAACTAAGAAGATATTTTCAGTTTGATACTAAGGTTATTTCATAGATTATTTACATACTATTCTAATCTACCCTATGAAAATCTTAGGAGAATAAACAGTTGTCGTCATTGATCAAATAGCAACAACAACAACCCAGTAATAATTTTACTAGTGGGATCTGGGGAGGATAGAGTGTACGCAAACCTTACCCCTACCCATGAGGATAGAGAGGCTGTTTCCGGGAGACCCTCGGCTCAAAAGCAAAAGATCTGTAACAACAACAGAAAACATACAAATAAGATCAGCACCGTAAGTGACCACAAATAGGTGGGAAGGACAATAGTTATGGCAATAATCAAAATTGAAAATAAACTATAAAATAAAAGTAAAAAATAATTTTAAAAAAAATAGAAAGTGCGATGGAACAATAACCGCTAGCAGTCCTATATAAAACATTGTCAGACTAGTTAGAACAACGAAGAAAAACGCTCAACTACCCCCTAACCTACAACCCTCATGCTCGACCTCCACACCTCCCTATCCAGGGCCATTTCCTCGGAAATCTGATGTTGCGCCATGCCTTGCCTTATCACCTCGCCCCAATATTTCTTAGGCCGCCCTCTACCTCTCCTTGTACCCGTCAAAGCCAACTGTTCACACATCCTAACTGGGGCATCTAGGCTCCTCCTTCGCACATGCCCGAATTATCTAAGCCTCGCTTCCCGTATCTTGTCGTCTATGGGAGCCACGCCCACCTTCTCCCGAATATCTTCATTCCTAGTCTTATCCAGTCTAGTGTACCCGCACATCCATCTCAACATCCTCATTTCGGCTACTTTCATCTTCTGGATATGAGAATTCTTGACTGGCCAACACTCAACCACATACAACATGGCCGGTCTAATCACCGCTCTATAGAACTCACCTTTAAGTTTCAGTTGCACCTTCTTGTCACACAGGACTCTAGACGCTAACCTCCATTTTATCCATCCCACCCCGATACGGTGCGTGACATCCCCGTCGATCTCCCTATCTCCTTGGATAATAGAACCTAGGTACTCAAAACTCTCTCTCTTAGGGATGACTTGCGAGTCAAGCCTCACCTGCCCGCATGCTTCCCCCGACACATCACTGAACTTGCACTCCAAATATTCCGTCTTGGTCCTACTTAACTTGAAACCTTTAGACTCCAGGACCTGCCCCCATACCTCCAGTCTTTCATTAGCGCCGCCTCTCGTCTCATCAATCAGAACTATATCATCAGCGAACAACATACACCATGGCACCTCACCTTGAATATGGTGTGTCAATTCGTCCATTACTAGGGCAAATAAGAACGGGCTGAGCACAGATCCTTGGTGTAATCCCATAACTACTGGAAAGGGCCCCGAATCACCTCCCATAGTCCTAACCTGAGTCTTAGCTCCATCATATAAATCCTTTATCTCCCTAATATAAGCTATCGGCACACCTTTCACCTCCAGGCATCTCCAAAGAACGTCCATAGGGACCTTGTCATACGTCTTCTCTAAATCAATGAACACCATGTGCAGATCCCTCTTCCTATCTCTGTACTGTTCCACCAACCTCCTGATAAAATGGATAGCTTCTGTAGTAGAGCGACCAGGCATGAACCCGAACTGGTTTTCTGATATAGACACTGCCCTCCTTACCCTCCCTTCCACCACCCTCTCCCAAACTTTCATGGTATGACTTAGTAACTTTATACTGTTGAGACTGGTAGTTAGTAGTAGTGGTGCAGTTGTGTGCCAGCTGTTAATGAGCTGGTATTAGTGTAGAATTAAGTTAATAAGTTAGTTAGTTAGTTATGTGTATAAATAGGGAGTATTATCTTTCATTTCTAGATTCTTCCGTAGCTCAGCTTTGATTCAATGAGAATACATTTCCCTCCTTCTCTCACTCGCTCATTTCCTTTTCAATGCATCTCCATAGCTGACCTCCATTATATCCCTATAGTTGTTACAATTCTGGATCCCTTTGTTCTTGTGCAACGGAATCATAGTCCACCTCATTAATCAAATAGCAGCTTCAGAAATTATAAATCCTGCAAATTATATACATTACCATTTGAGAAAAAGCATTAGCACTAATCATAATGCCACGAAGTACCTCAGTAGCGGCTTGGTTGTTCTAACTAGTCGAGCATTAATTAAGATATATAAGAGAGATTAATCACAATATATAAACAAATATTTTTTGAAGAAAATTACTAAATATCTTGTTTTTGAAGGATATATAAAAACATGAAAAGAGAAATAATAAGCACATGGAAGTCATTTCCACAGGAAAAAATAGCGTCCACTAGCCACTTTCATCCTTTTTTAAAAAAAAAATAACAATTGTTCTGGAGTTTCAAAATCTGAGGTTTCACTTGTACTATGTAATATTCTAGAACATTGACTATTTTTAAGTTACAAGAGTTGAAAAGTGGCTATTTGCTAAGTTTATGAATGAAATGGCAGAAATAACATATCATGAGGAGTGGTTTTTAACTTTTAGCATTTGGGGCGTCACATGATTAATGGCCAAACCTTCAAGGTCAAAAATTAAAAGTTTTGTTGGGGTAAAACTTATTAAACGTTAAAGTTTTGCCCATTGTTTAGGTGACTTGCCCTAAATGTTATAAATTAGGGAAATGATATTGTATAGCCACTCTCAAAGTAATAGCCGAAAAGTATATATTTTTTGCACATATATACGTTACGCATATAAAATATAAAAATTATACAAATTTTGAACTCTTTTTTGGCTATTGAATATAAAGAATTTCTGACGCTGGCTAAATGTGAAAAAAGACCTTAAAAATTCAAGACAAGCTCATTTCAAGGTTATTGAGAACTTAACCCCAAGTGATGATATACCAATGGACCTTGGACTACGGCAATAGGCCCAAGCCCACTGCGATCCACTGAAGCAACAGTACCAGTATTTATAGCGGTAATAATTCTCCAACCGCCTCTCGCAGACTCCGTTTTCATTTTTGGCGGGAATCAAAACCCTCATTTCTCATCAATGACAGAAGCAGAAATGGAGGCGGCGGGAGGAACGGAAGAAGAAGTGGAAGAGGAATTCTCTGTTTGGAAGAAGAACACGCCGTTACTCTACGACCTTGTCATCTGTCATGCACTTGAATGGCCTTCTCTCACCGTTCAATGGCTTCCGTCACCTGCCGTCGACAACGGTTCCTTTTTAACACACAAGCTCATTCTAGGAACCCACACTTCCGGTGATTTCCCCAATTTTCTCATAGTCGCTGACGTCCATCTTCCCCGTAACCCTGCTTCAGGAATCGAACACGATCTCAGTAACCCTCAAATCCCTACGGTATGTTAGTGATTAAATTACATTTGATAGTGTGAAAAATACTTACATAAGTTATTTTAGTTTAAATATTGATATCTCCTACAAAAGTCCACCTAAGATTAAATATTCCGAGCCGGTGTATGTAGCTAAACATATATCCTTAAGATGCGTGTAAATGCGTCTTTGTAATGCTTATATATACTGGTAAGAACTGTTTGGTGAAATGTCTAAACGAATGAGCTTTGTCCGACTGAACGGGCTTATGTGTAGGAGGAGCGGCGAATACATGATTTGAATATTATGGTTTCGAGTTCGGGGTTCTATCACTACCCATTTAATTTACTGGATTCTAAAGCTATTATTTGTATGTATTTAGGGATCTCTAACACATGTATAGAGTCCGAGTGACCCATAAGTCCTTAACTGCATCTGCCCAAGTGTAGGAGCCTATTAGTGTTTTATTACAGGAAGTTTTAGTTGCAATATCCTTGTAATGTTAACACATGTAAACAAGTGGTTAAGTCTTTTCCTTAATTCTTACAGGTAGAGATAGTACAAAAGATACATGTTGATGGAGAAGTGAATAGGGGGAGATGTATGCCACAAAAGCCAGCTGTAGTTGCGGCAAAGACCTGTAGTGCTGAAGTTTATGTCTTTGACAGTGGTAAACAGCCACTCGATCATGAAGGGGGATCTTGCGACCCTGATGTTCGACTTAGAGGGCATGATAAAGAAGGTTATGGCTTATCGTGGAGCCCATTTAAAGAGGGTTATCTTTTGAGTGGTTCCGATGATCGAAAGATTTGTTTGTGGGATGTTTCTGCAATGCCTCAAAATAAAGTGCTTTTGGCCCATCATACATATGAGGTAGATTTATCTATGTTTTTCACCCCATTACTTTTGCTTATGTGCTGATTCAACTGTCTTACGTTTGTTAATTCTGGAGGTGAAGTACTTGCTGCGGCAGATGAGATTTTAATTCTGTTATTTTGTGTATAGGAACATGCAGATGTAGTTGATGACGTATCGTGGCATCCAAAGAACGAGAACCTATTTGGTTCTGTTGGAGATGATTGTCGTCTGATCATTTGGGACTTAAGGACAAACAAATCTCAACACTCTGTTGTAGTGCACGAGAAAGCGGCAAGTGTCATTTCTCTTTACTTTTTAGTTTCTATCTACTAAATATTGTACTTAACACTGTTTGATCTGTATTATTGACATTCATCTTGACTATGTTATTCTAATTGCTTGTTTCCCTATTATTGTTCTTGCAACTATACTTTCCCATCAAATATATAACAGGGAAGGTTCTCCTTTATTGAGTCTTCAACCATGTGAATGAGGCTGCACAATACATATTGCTGGCCTCCTTTTATATTGGGCTTCTAAGTGCAGATCAAGACAGGTTGAAATATCAACATATCTCATGCTTGGTTATCTGTCTTGCTTAAATGTACCTCAAGTACTCATTATAGCAAGCAGGGGCGGATTTAGGGTGGCGCAAGGGGGTTCGCCCCCTTCGCCGAAAAATTACACTGTATATATAAGGCAAAATCTGGTTTTTATCTCTATATATTAAGTTTTGAACTCCCTTAGCACAACCCAAAAGTGTAGTTTAGTGGTCAAGGGGGGGTTCAAAACCTTCATAAGGTTACAGGTTCAATTCATACTAGCTACAAAAAAAAATTTTTGAACCCCCTTCGTGGTGATCCTGCCTCCGCCACTGATAGCAAGGCTTCCAACTTGATGTTATGAAGAAACAGAAGAAACCATAATAGGAACAAAAAGTGGATTGCGGTCCATGACTCATGTTCTCTGAAACATCTCTCATTGCTGTACAGAAGACACACTCTGAACTAGATTCGTGTGCAATGTCACGAAACTAGTCAAGGAGTCTTCTCGGGCATGTGAACAATAACTGTTAAATTAAGAAAGCTTCATTTGGAACAATTGGACAGGACAATTCAGATGTTTTGGGTAAATGGAACTAATGGCACCTTTAACTATGGTAATTCTTAAGACATGTTAGTGATTCTATTGTATCTGTTCAAGAGTTGTTAAACTGGTCACCTGATTCACATCCATTAATTAATTGCGAGATCAGAAAGTGAATAACATGTTCACTGTCTGAACAATTTTTTCTCAACATTTTCCCGGTTATGTAGTCTTGCTGATCTTGTTTTTTCTTCCACTTTTCAGGTGAATTGTTTATCCTTCAACTCGTATAATGAGTGGATTCTTGCTACAGCATCATCAGATAGTACTGTCGGGCTGTTCGACATGCGAAACCTGAGCACTCCATTGCACGTGTTTGGTAGTCACACGTATGTCCTTCAGCTTTACATATGAGTTCTCAAATTTAGTGCAGTCAAACTGTGAAGTCATCACTCCCTTGTCTTTATGGCATAGAAACTATGCAAAGCACAGTTCTATGATGCTTGTCTCTGCTGCTGATTGACTTATTGATGTTTGGATCCACTAACAAGCAAAATAAGCTTCTTTTGAAACAAAAGCAATGAAAACTACGACGTATTCATTAAAGTTACTTGAAAATTGAAATGGTGCTGACTTTATGTCCTTGCTGAGTAATTTTTCCCTTGTACATGGAAAATGGTCAAATCTTTGTTGCTTTTGACCCCTGCTCCTCAGCTAATTCCTCCTTTCTTACATGCTACAGCCTTGAGAAAAGTTTATTTGATGACATTGTAATATGATACCTCTATGTTAGTTCATTATAATAATTTTCCAGACTGTGTAACTGTATTGTCACCAATAGCTGGAGATTCTTGATTGTCAGGCGTTGGCCTTACCCAGCAGTTATTCAGACTTTTCTCTTAATTCTCATGCATTCTAAATTGAATGACTGCACTACCTTTTGTTTCTGCAAATGCTAAAGCTTTTCTCACTAAACCATAATGATTTTTGCAGGGATGAGGTATTTCAGGTAGAATGGGATCCTAATCATGAGACCGTACTGGCATCTTCAGCTGGTGATAGAAGGTTGATGGTCTGGGATCTTAACAGGTACCTCATGCAAATGAATCTCACAACACATAATGATAATAACCAAAGAATACTCAACTGCACCTTATTACAAACTGTCTTTGTTTACTCGCCTATCATTCTACTCGAATAACGGTTGATTTGATTTGGTTTTATGTCTTCAGGATTGGTGACGAGCAATTGGAAGGGGAAGCTGAAGATGGGCCCTCTGAACTTCTCTTCTCTCATGGTGGTCACAAAGCAAAGATTTCTGACTTTTCATGGAACAAGAACGAGCCATGGGTCATTTCAAGTGTTGCAGAAGACAATACTGTTGAAGTGTGGCAGATGGCTGAGAGCATCTACCGTGATGACGATGACAATGGCGACTGCTGAATTCCCCTGACTCTGGATGTTTAACTTTTGTGGCATTTTCTCCTCCATTAGTGTGTGGCCATAGTAGTGTCCTGCAAGTTTATGAACTAGAAGAGCGCCGCTGATACTTTCTTGTGTTTGGCATTGCCTATTAAGTTAATTAGGTGCAGATTTATGAACAGTAAATGGCTTTGCATGTTAATTAGGGGAAGAAAAGGCCCGGCTCCGATTCCAGACACTGGTCTTGATTCAGAGTTTACGGTGCATCTTTGTGTTTCTTTTTTTTTTTTTTTTTTAAGGAGAGTTGGGTGACATCAACCTAGGAGGTAATCTGATATCTCCACTAAAGATGGAATAATTAAGGAGAATGGAAGAATACAGAGAAGGAAAAAAGGTGGCAAAAATGTAGATTAGTTGTGGACTCGCGCAAGAAAAATATCTGTCGTTTGGGAAGAAAGTGTTTTACTGAAGTTCCTTTGCTATACCAAAGATCAAATGAACATAAACAAAACCTAATATCATGAATGTCCTCTTATCTTCCAATTTCAATGTCCCATAAAATATATGAAGCTTTTCGTGGCCACTATAGTTGTCAATTGTAACTCACCAAGACCAAAACATAGACGAAAAGCTCTAGTAATATAGAAGAAAACAAATAAGTCTATCGAGCAACGTAATAACAGATAGTTTCGAACAATATTTAACCTATGCAGAATCTCGTTGATGATAATACTAGTTCTATTAAACAGGAAATGCTCAAAAGTCGACCCCCCTCATTCCTGCTCCTGTTCCATGAGAAATCCATATACTTCCCTTTGTATTAAACACTCTATTGGAATGAGAAGTAACAACAACTCCCACCAACTTGTATTTTGCAAAATCTTATATTCAGATGCCATGTACGCCATTTGATACAACACTTGAACAAGTTAAAGGCACCAGACTCAAATCTCAATACTTCGCCCAGCTTTTCACGGGAAATTAAAATATTAAACTTCGCCGTGCACAGTAATTGTATTACTAACTCTAAACACCACAATATTAATGTACTTCAATAGAAATAGCCAAAGGCAGGTCATCAACGAAAGCAACCCATTTGCCTGCTCCAAATATGGTCTAACGAACAACTACTACTACGCCTAGACAACAATGGCTCACTTTCAAGCAAGTCTAGATCAACTATATGGATCCTCACTGTCCATAATAGGTCTAACGGAGCAAAAAATAATTAAACACACAACCAACAATTAGCTATAGCACCATACTCCAACACCTCAATTCTTAGTGTATAATGTGAAGTTGAGACATCAATTTCAAAACTCACATGTAAATTGACATGGAAGAAAGAGATCTTGTTCTTCCCTACCAACCACTCCACGACCCACGACCATGGAACCGCGGTACACACATAAAAAGGACCAAAACCAAACATAGAAAATGAGAAAGAAACACATTAGGGCATATGTAATACTACATATTTCACCACTTATGGTTTCTACTTCATGAGATCTTTGTATTTCAGCTCAAACTACTGAACACAACATGTGGTCCCAGAAGTAAAATAAAGCGAACGGGAACTGAGGAACCAAGCAAATGCACTTCAATAATTTGTCAAGAGTGTTTGAACTTTGAGTCACTCTTAAAAGCAGATTCACGAGCAATAAACAAAGCCACCAACTATTCCAAATTTAGTGGTTTCAAATTCACATAATATAGGAACGACAACTTATCAATTCAAAGATCCATAAGCAAGAGGTGATATTCATCAAAAAGAATGAACAAATACAACACTGAGGAATAAAAAGCTTCCAGATCTTCGCAGAAAACCAAAACTCTTGGTATCCTCTTCATGAGTTCTGCTAGCTATATTCGTTCAATTTGTTCTGCTTTACATGACTGTTGATAAAATAACTACTAGGCCACCAACTCAACAGCCGGAAGGAGATTATAATTGAACTCAACAAAGTAGATAAGCTGGGAAGAAATCCCAAGAGAGAGCACATAACAAAACGTACTTATTCCCAAGAGCAAAAGATGCTTCTCCGACACAGTTCATCAACTTGCTGTTGTTGTACGTGTGCTTCCTAAAAAAGCAAAGCAAAGATCAACATAAAGGAGGACAGTCAGGCAGCTTGAAAAAAAAGATGAGTTGTCATTCTACACTAGTACATTAACCTGTTTCTTGTTCAGCTCATTTGCATTTAAGGAACTAACAAAGTTTACAGGCTACATAGAAGGCACTATAGGTTGCAAACTTTTGCTTTTTAAACCCCCTGATGTCATCATTATTTAGAATTTCAGTCCAAGATAAATATGTCTGGTAATCAAGCAGAGCAAGTTTTTCTTTATTTTTGTGATACGGTTAGCGAAAACTCTTGTTTAAATGGCATCCAGTAGATGCTCTACTTCCAGCAAATATCAGACTCCCTTTAACAATTTTTTGACCTATTCTGTAACAAAGGGAGCTGATGTCTAACGAAACTCATATATCCTTTGAAATCATCTATTACATCCAATTTACACCAAAAAGCTAAAAGATATATGTAGTTTGCTCTCAAGAAATGTATTGATTGTAATTTATCTTCAAAGCATCTTTGATTCCTTTCTTTCAGAATGCACCAGATTATGCACCATGGTATTGTGGTCCAAACTTTCTTGAAGTCGGTCCTTGTCTTCGCTCCACATTAGCAGGTATCAGCGGGGCTCATTTTTTCTTTTGTACACATCTATTTAATTACAAACAATTCCCCGGGACTTGAGGGGAAACATTGAAATTCTTAGCAACTGTTAATTTTGGGGAAAATGGTATCAGAATCTTAAGTTAGAATTTGCATAATTACAACTATTTTACTTTTTACTCTTTTTCTTTTTGAAAGGGAGGGACAAAATCATCCTTTTTATTATTTTAAGCCCAGTATTCAGTTTTGGGTAATGTCAAAATTGTTATTCTCAACTCTTGGCAAGTAATATTAAGCATGTAAGTGTATGCAAATCATATCAAGACAGTGACACCCATTTTATTTACTTGCAAATCATATTATTACAAATAAAATCCCTATAGACATACACAGATAAAATATATTAACAATTTATATATACAAACACCTTCCATCCATTTTATATGAACACGAGATTGAAGATATTCATTTGATTAATGGATTATATTAGTTATAGTAGGAAAAAAGTAATGGCTCGACTAGACGATGTAATGGCTCAACTAGATGATGTTATTGTACACAATAAAGACATCCTTTCGTGAAATAAGGTTACATTAGACATTAGTCCTAGTTCCAAATGGTAACCGTGCTCATGTGAGCTGAAGGACAATGCTCAGTTAAGGTGGTACAAAATACTTAAGATAGTCCAATTTTCAGATGATATTAACTTTAAGAGGAAATGACATCAACTCACCTTTTCTCTTGCTTCGACCAGAAGTGTTGGCAGTAGGAGTAGGTGTGCCATTATCCATAGGACAAGGAACCTCCTCCATTCCAGAGGTTTGATTACCCAAGCATTGGAGAGTCTCAAATTCACAGTTATTGAAGCCTTGTCCATTTAATACAGTGCCGTCTGAGCTTTTAACTTCTGCACCTGGATGGAGGCAATAAACCTGATCATCACATTGTAGGTTGCAAGAGTTCACCACATATGATCCAGGAATGTTAGGATTAACTACGTTCTGATATACATTGCCGCTCTTCATCGGCTTCTGGTATGGAAATGATCCAATTTCCCCTTCAATCCTTCCTCGGATGTCGACAAGCAAGCACTTGAGCCTAGCAACCTCAGCTTCCAATACAGCCTGACCCTGCAGCCTCTTGAATAGTTGCTGATTTATAGCCCTCAATCTGATAACCTCATCCTCTAATGAAGCAGCCCGAGCTTTCTTTTTCTCACGATACTTGCGAACGGCTTCCTTATTACCCACGGGTCGTTTCTTTCCTTTCTTCTCTGAAGACTCTGCAGTATCATCACTGGGGTTCTTATCCTCGTCCTCCTCCGAGGGAGGCACGAATTTGGTGTGAACATGGTAACAAGTGTGTGTATGAGAATTATCAGGGCCAGGCGGGTTGCAAGTGTGGGCGTGAGTGCAGGCATGCGTATCCTTGAGAATATCATTGAAAAAGCTGTCCATGGAACTACTAAATTCACCAAAATTCGAACTTGATAACATTTCTTGGTTAGAAAATTCCAGCTCTCCGTCAGCCATCATAGCAATCCCAAAAGTAGTAACCAGTAAGGTGACAATCTGCAGCAAAGCACTAGCAATTAAGAGACCCTCTTCACAGATTCCATACCCCATTCAAACAGGGGCGGACGTAGAGTTCAGGTTATTAATTCGAACAATGTATGTGTGTTTAAAAATTTACAAAAAAAGTAGAAACAATATCAAGGTTGTAACAGAACTCTGTACTCGAACCTATAAAATTCAAAATCCAAGATCCGCCTCTACTCATTCAAACTAAAATCTCAACTACTAGTCGGGGTCAATAATAGGTTAAACCCCCAGAAATGAAATGCAAGAAAACAAGACATAAAGTTGAAATCTTTAGTAACAAAAGTAGCATAATTATACTTTCTGAGGAAAACCCAAATCTTGAATTCGAAATTCTAACAATAATTTAACATCAAAACCTATCACTCTTCACAAAAACAAGAAGCACGCAAGCCATGTATCCATATGTTTCCAAGTCATTAACAGAGCAGTAAACTTGAATTGAATTAATCAGTTTAAATCATCAAAAATAACTGAAAAAGACAAAAAGCACTTGCACTGAAGCCGAGTCTGATGCCCTAAAAGATTACATACCTCATTCAACCTAAAAACGCCAACAACTAGTCGACTCAATAATAGGGCAAAACCCCAGAAAGAAAATCCAACAAAACAAGGCACAAAGTTCAAAACTTTACCACAAAAAGTAGCTTAATTATACTTTTAGAGGAAAACCCAAATCTAGAAATCGAAAAATCTGATAAAAATTAAACATCAAAACCTATCACTCTTCACAAAACACGAAGCAAACAAGCCATGCATTCAGATTTTACCAAATCATTAACAAAGCAGTAAAATTGAATTGAATTGAATTCATGAGTTTAAATCATCAAAATATAACTGAAAAAGTTGGTGTCTGCTATAGGAATCCTAACTGACCACTTTACTTCATTAAAAATCATGTAATGTGAGGATTCAATGAAATCGGCTAGTTTTAAGAGACCCTCACAGACTAAGAAATCCCAACAACTAGCCCTGTCAATAATAGGGCAAAACCCCAGAAAGCAAATTCAATAAAATAAGGCATAAAGTTGAAATCTTTAGCACAAAAAGTAGCATAGTTATAATTTTCGAGGAAAACCCAAATCTTGAAATTGAAATTCTGATAAAAAAATCAAACGTATCTCTCTTCAGAAAACAAGAAGCACAGAAACCATGTATCCAGATGTTGCCAAATCATTAATAAAGCAGTAAAATTGAATTGAATTTAAGAGTTTAAATCATAAAAAATAACTGAAAAAGACAAAAAAAGAAGAAGCACTTACAGTGAAGCAGAGTCTGATGAAGAGGAGAGAAAAAGAGAGAAAATAGGGTCAGAGATAATGAAAAAAGAGGAACCCTAGAAAGGGCTAAAAAGGGGGAGTTGAGATGTATTGTCAAATCTTTTAATGGCGGAAAAAAAAGAATGGAGGAAACAGAAGGGGCCACTAGTCAAGATTCCACACACACATGCACAACACTTGCTGCTACTGCAAAATTCAGCTCCGTTTGTACCTCTCTGGGAAATCTCATAGACTCAATTTGTTATTTATACCTATTTGGGGGACCGATCGTAAATTATTTTTTCACGGAATGAATTAGCGGTGCATAATGAGCAACTTTGTCTTTTACTTGGCCACTTGGCTGTCTCAGTATGTTTTACTTTTTTTTTTCTTTTTTCTTTGAATTTGTGCCACGTAAAATTTATTAGACTCGATTCTATAGAAATTATGGCTTAAATAATCCATAATTCTATTAAAATCTTGGCTCAATAATGATATTTTTTTCTTTTATGTGCTGTCCTTTTACTCTTTTCTTTCCCTGACTTGCATAGTTATAAATTGTCTTGCTTATTTGATTTTTATTCTTTTGTGTGTGACAGTTGCTTGCCATAATTATTTATAGCTCTTTTGATTATTTTTCCGTTTGAATGTAATAAGAAAATCTAAAAGCAAGAGTTGAAATAGCTTAATTTTGTTCATGATTTTTAGGGTTGTTATTTGTACATCATGCCCTTTTACAATTTTGAATTTAAGAAAATAATCTTTTTTAGATCTCTTAAATGTGAAAGACAGATCTCTTATGTGTAAAAGTAAATCTCTCATGTATAAAAAAAGAGATGAAGTCATAAAACTAAAACTAAATTTGTAAAAAACCAAAAAATCAATTGACCTCATCCAAAAATGGGAATTGTCCATCGAAATTAATATTATAGTATTTTAGATTGAAGTAGGCTTTTCTTTTTTAAATTAGCCAATTTTAATACTTGAGATGTTTAAACAGAATATATGACAAAAATTGCTCCATCTTTCTCATGTTGTTTTGGTCTCAAGAATTTCTGGTTGAAACGCGTACCAGATTAAAATAAGGCGCATCATCGTTTATTTTTTTATTATTATAATTCATTTATTGACATTTTGTCAAAGAATTATTGGTCAATATTATATTGCCTGTAAATGTGCATCTTCTCCTATTCTTCACCAACTTAATATATTTTCTAGGTGCTCATCATTGAGATTCTGTGCAGAGTTCGTATAGATTCAAATAAGCTCCATCGAAGTCGGTACGTTTTCGTTGATTCGATAAATGATGATAAGAATACAATCAAATTATTGTGATAAGACATCGAAAATTAAGTAAATTGTGCATTTCTAAGTACTTTATTTTTTGGGTCAGGGTTAATATATAACTAGACATGCTGATTTCTACAAAAATAATCTGTCGGATATTTCTTTATATAGTCGGTACACATAAATTATATACAGTTATACAAAAATATTAAATCTTCTCACTTTTTTTAAGTATACCGAGTAAACTATTTCATTTTTCAATTTACACTTAAAAAAGGAAGGCAGAATAAACCATTTTCATTTGTTGTGATTCTCTTTCCTTTTTGTTACATGTAGAAATTGATGGAATGAGATGTGATGTTTTGTTTTAGTGGGAGAACAAGAAATATTGGATTGAAATAAAACCCAAGCATAATTAAATTAAGATTGAAATAGAGGAATATTTAGTGATATCTAATACTCCGCCAAAATTAGAACTTTCAAAAGCAGCAAAAGACAAAGGTGATGAACTTACTACACTACTAAATATAAACAATATAATGTTATATCTATAAGATTGATTTGGTAATAGGAACATCAATTGTATACCTATTAGCAAACGGCGAAACGACTATTTTTCGGGGAGTAAAAGTCTTTCAAATTTTTCCTCTCTGAAGTTGAAGTATGAGAAATAATTGAGTGAATGAGTCGAATAAAGAACCCCATTGAGGAAAATACATTTATTAGGCATAAGCAAACAATTGGACAGCATATAGATTTTTCTCCGGGAAGAATCGACTCCTAGAGTTCGAATTCTAGTATTAATTACTTGATAATCGTTGTTGTTGATTTCAGCAAAAATAAGAAGCAATTTGTATTTTATCAAATCTGAGAAACAATTGAGGATGATCCAATGGGTATTTCCCGTGATTCATAGAGAATGGCGAAACTTTGAGCACATACTCATCTCGTTTTAGCATAAATAATGACGAGGCGCCAGTAATTCTAAAGGAAATTCTTCTAACCGTGCTCTTTTTTCCTTTATTTCAAGATTCTCTTTCCCACCAGGACATACTTCTAGTTCAAACAAAAGGCGGATGGCAGAAGGGCGGACTTGAGAATGAGTATTGTGCAGTTTGACAAAGTTGGATTGCTGTATCAAAGTGTTCCAAATTTTAGTCGCATGAAAGACTTGGCAGGAAGACATGTTAGGATGTCGAATACTATGTCATCAAAACAATGCCTCTCCATAAGGTTATGTAGCATGTGTTCTCAATATTTGAGTTGGATTACCTACTATAGTTGTAGGCGAGTTAGAATTGCTCTTTTGATTGTGTTATGAAAATTTAATTTGCGGGTGTCTATTTAGCAAAGGGAAGTTTTCTAATAGGAAAGAAATTGTAATACAACTTTGATTTCTTTCCCGTAAAGTCTGCACCCTTTTTTTTCCCGGGGAATAAGGGATTCTTCTCGAATATTAGAATCAAGCTGCGGTTCTTTGAGAATTCAATATCTAGGATTAGGTCGCGACTTAGTGGAGAGAAGGTATACATTCTCTCTAAACTTCGCATCTTCTCAAATCTCCATCTACAGATAATGGTTAGTTCTTCAAACTCCCCTAAACAAATCTCCACAATTCCACCAAAACCACCAGACATTACTCCCCCATCTGGGGAATTCAACAGCCCCTTAAACTCCTTCTCACATCCAAATGTTTCCTCCTCCCAATTAAAACCCCCACCATCACATTGAAAGACATGTTGTTAGTCAATTCCGAGGAGACCTACATAACTATGCAATAAGAAGAGTCATGTACCCAATTCATGGCAGACGGTACGCCAATGGATGAAATGGTGCGGGCTAAACCCTACACGCATGGAAATGATATAATCGATGAAAAACTTTAGATCATCCTATCCACGGATGACCTTAGGCGTATCTACCAGCCATACAAATATTCTGTCATTTTAAGCTCATGGGTAAGCGTATACTACACCATTATCTCAAGAAGAAAATTCAAGAGCTATGTATACCTACAGAAAACTTTATTCTCATGAATCTAGGAGCAGACTACTTCATAGTAAAATTCAATAAAGAAGAAAATATGATTGTAGTTGGTTCATTAGTGATTTTTTTCTTTCAGTACAAAAATGGGAACCACAATTTGTGGCAATAAAGGCCAAACAACTCTTTTCAGCTGTATGGGTACGCCTACCTCAACTCCCAGTTGAGTTTTAAGACAACATTATCCTACAAAAGATTGGTAACAAAATAGGAAAATTAATAAAAATCGACGCATGCACTTCATCCAAATTAAGAGGAAGATATGCAAGGCTGTGTGTAGAGGTACCCATAGAAACACCAGTTAAACCTTTCATTTATGTTGGTTCCTATAAACAACAAATTCTTCATGAAGGGGAAAACTTTTTCTGTAAAAACTGTAAAAGACTGGGTCATAATATCCAAAAGTGTTCTTATTCAAGTCCTCAGCCTCCCAAGATAAGTCTGCAAGAGTCAGGTCCAGATTCATGCACATAGTCCGGAAGAAGGTGAATGAAAGACAGTATCTTTTGCAATGAAGAAGATACACAATTCACGTTAAAGGTCCACAACCAACACTAACACACCTGCACCAGGTATTAATGCTAAGATTTTCGATGCAGATACAAATAAGTATCTCAATACTCAGAAACTTAGATACATTGAAAAAGTCTCATAAATTCACTGACATAGACAAAAAGAATAACCAAAGTTCTTGGAATACTGCAGGCCCTTACAACACATCCCTAACTACATCAAACCACTTCTCCCAATTAGATAACCTGCCCATAGTTTTGAAGGAAACCACTATCCTTCCGCTGGATATTTTCTATATTGACCAATGCATGCACAATACTATGAACACTTCTAAACAAACTAATTTACATGTGAAAGATGATGGCAAAGCTTTGTTAATAGGAACGCAATCGTTGAGCCCTAATTTTTAATAGAAAAAGACACGCCACCACTAATATTCAGGAAAACCCTCTAATTAAAACTACCCCTATTACCCACTTTAACTCTGGTGTTACTACTTCTTTACCTAAACAAATCAATACTGCTAATAATAAAAATAACATGCACACTAAACAGGTTCATCAAGACTGCCACATGGAAAAAAAGAAAGAACACTTGTCTATGTCCATATCCACCAAAGATATGGATATAAACCATAAGCCACCCCAATCAAATTCCATGCAAACAGACTCTACTATAATAGCAAATCATTCCACTCTCCCCATAATATTTACCAATTCTGTCTACAATATATTAGCCACCAATAAAGAGAATGCCCAGACTCCCATTCACAGCGAGAAGAAGATACAGGCTTGTCCACATTCTACACCAACACAAGAACCAAAACATGGACAACCTTCCTCCACTCCCCCTCCCAACTACCAAACCAACCACTCTCCTTCACCTCACCTTCTCTATCACAGAACTATCAACCAACATCTTGGCTAGAAGCAGGTCTAATAGGCCATGCAATAACCTTCAACATCCAGATCAATGGCTAGGAAATGATGATAATCATCCAAAACACCCGTTACCTATCTCAACTAATCTCGGAGGGAATGCACTTAGCCATGAACAATTACACCAACCAAATGCGAATCAATAACATACTCCATCCTCTAGCCCCAAACATGAACCACACTTTGATCTAAACAATGTCGAACCACTGGAACCTCACTCAAGCTCCCAACACACAGATTCCTCTGAACCTTCTCCCCACCAGAGGAAATTACTCAAATAAACCCAATATTCATACCATGGGGATTGCATGTAAACCAGGATCAAGCCCAGAACATAATAAATATCCTAGCACCATAGAACCCAATCCCCAACACAATGTTCAAGAACCAGGACAAAATCCAACAAGGGTAGAAGAAGAACACCCTCTACAAGGTACGGAATTGAGTGTGGAATTTTCAACCTCAAT